ATGGTTTTAAACTTGATTCACGAGCAGTATGATAGTTTTGTAAATAATTACATTGTTTTTGTTAAACAAAGAACAAAAATGAAGAACATACTGTAGTAGAATAATATGGTCTTTTCCACTAGATGGAAGTATGAGATAACCAGATGTCAGAAAGAAAGAATTTTTATAGCTGAACTAGAACAAGATATGCAGAGTCTTCAATAAATTGTTACCAAATAAAGATTTCTGACCAGTGTGCACAAGGAAGTAGTTTGCCTCTTCATCCCCCCTCCCTCCTTCCTTCCCTTCCTCCTCCTCTCTCTTGCTCTCACTCTCTCTCTCGCTCTCACTCTTGGAATGTACAGAACAAATGTAAAATTTTCAGTTTGCATACTGAAAAAAGCATTTTAAGAAAATTCAGAACAAAACAATCTATAACTAATAATTGATTATTTGGTAAAGAGATTCAGTTGAGTTTTTAGTTACTTTGTTTTTTTCTAGTATGGAGAAATCCCATAGTTTATAATAAATTTTAAATCTAGAAAACTTATTAAACTCTTCTTAATGCTTATATATTGCATTTCTCTGTGATTGGTTATAGCATCTATGAATAACAGCAGTTTAGTTTTCTAATTCTGTAATTACTATTTCTTCTTTTTCACACCGATTAATACCTTCAGAACAAACAAAATAATTAGAGTTGATGATAGCAAGGCTGCTTTTTTGCTTCGGATCTTAAAATTAATGCACTGCTGATAAAGGACTTTAGCAAAGTCTCAGGATACAAAACAAATGTGCAAAAGATAGTTGCATTCTTATACACCAACAACAAGCAGGCAGAGAACCAAATACAAAGCACAATCTCATTCACAACAGCCACACAAAAAATGAAATACCTCAGCATCTTCCTAACCAGAGATGTGAAAAACCTTTACAATGAGAACTACAAAACACTATTCAAAGAAATCCAAGAAGACACAAAGAAATGGAAAAATATTCCATGCTCATGGATAGGAATAATCAACATTGTTAAGATGTCCATTCTCCCCGAGGCAATCTATAGATTTGACATAAAACCCATTAAATTACCATTATTCTTCTCAGACCTGGAAATGACAGTACAGAAATTCATATGGAAATATACATGACCACGAGTATCCAAAAGAATCCTTAGCAAAAGAAACAGAGCAGGAGGTATCACACTTTCAGAGTTCAAACTTTACTCTAAGGCTATAATAATCAAAACAGCCATTATTGGTACAAGAACAGGCATACAGACCAATGGAACAGGATAGAGATTCTGGAAGCAAAGCCTCAATATCTCAGCCAAGTCATCTTTGACAAAACCTCCAACAACAAGCATTGGGGAGAGGAGAAGCTATTCTGCAAATGATGCTGGGAAAACTGGCTGACCACATGCAGAAGATTGAAACAGAACCCTTACCTATCACCATACACAAAAATTAACTCTAAATGAATCAAAGACCTAAATGAAAACTATAAGAAAATACAGGAGACACCCTTATGAAAATTGGAACTGGTAACCAATTCCTGATAAAAACCCCAAGTGCCCTTGCCATAAGAGATAAGATAGACAAGAGGGACCTCATCAAATTGACAAGCTTCTGCAAAGGCAGAGAGAGAGAGCAGGAGACAGCCCACAGATTGGGAAAAAATATTTGCCAACTGTATATCTGACAAAGACCTAACATCTAGGATCTACAAGGAACTCAAAAGTTCCAAAAGGAAAAAAAACAAACAGCCCCATTAAAAAGTGGGCAAAAAACATGAATAGACACTTCTCAAAAGAAGATACATGAGCAGCCAACAGACACATGAAAAAGTGCTCAGCCTCACTAATCATCAGAGAAATGCACATCAAAACTACATTGAGATACCACCTAATCCCAGTAAGAATAAGCATCATTAATAACAACAGATGCTGGCGAGGATGCGGAGAAAAAGGACCAGTTCTACACTGCTGGTGGGAATGCAAATTAGTGCAACTCTTTGGAAAACAGTGGGGTGATTCTTAAAAGAGCTAGAAATTGACCTTCCATGTGACCCAGAAATTTCCCTATTGGGAATATACCCAGAGGAACTCTAATCATTCTACCTGCACGTGCATGTTTATTGTAGGTCTATTCTCAGTAGCAAAGGATACCTGCACGTGCATGTTTACTGTAGGTCTATTCTTAGTAGCAAAAACATGGAGCCAACTGTACTACCCATCGAAACTGAACTGGATAAAAAAATGTGGTATATATACAGTGGAATATTATGCAGCCATAAAGAAGGTCAAACATACGGACTTCGCAGCAACTTGGGATGAATTTAGAGTCGATCATACTCCGTGATCTGTCACAGAAACAAAGAACAGAGTACCATATGTTCTCACTCATAATACTATAAGAAAGGGATTGTTAGTAATGGGAAACTGCCAGGGGAGAGGAGTAAGGGCGGGGTTGGCAGTTGAGGGAAACTGCTAGGGTGGTGGGGGAGGCAGACCTATCAACAAGGGTACCTGCACAATGAACATTTGTACACATAACTCTGAATTATACCCCACATCTTTAAAATTTAAAAAAAAAAATTTTTTTAATTAATGCACTAAGTCTGGTGTATACTGAGAGTTGGGATTTGTTTTTTTCCCCAGAAATTCTTTCTAGAATCCTTTTATTTTCCTTCACTGGTTTCTGTGCTATCTTTATTTTCCTTCCCTGTACTTTATGATTGTCCTATCTTTTTCCTAACCACTGAGTTAAACATTTAGCTTAGTGATTTATTCTTTCCTCTATTCTAATTTGAGAATTTAAACTATACATTTTTTTAGTTAGTTATCTAGATATTTCAACTTGTTTACTTAACCTGACAGCATCTAATGTTAATCTGTATTAACAAAGTATGTATTGTAGAACATTCTTTGATATAGTCAAATGCCCACTCTTATTTATAGGCTGTCATTACTACCTTGATTTTAGTTCCAACTTAAATTTTTAACACCATGAAATCTCTCTATTTCTCTGTCAACTTTTCTAACTTGTGTTCCTCTGCCAGACTCTTTCCCCAGTGCTCACTTTTTTCCTCTACACTTTCCTCAGGAAAGAACGGTGATCTGTTCAACTCATACGCATTATGTATTATTTTCTGACCACCAAATATCTATTTTCTGCCAGGCTACAGTTTTTAACACTGAATCTCTGTCTTCTGTAATCTACATTATAGATTTACCCCCTCTCACAGTCATTTCAAGTTTATCAATTTTAGTTTTGGAAACTTTCATCAACCTTCTCTGCCCCGTACTCCCAATCTGTTTATCATTTGTACTAACTATCGTAATAAATTATATTTCTTCTACCAGTTTACTCATCCCCAAAACCCAAGGTTATTTGTTGAGATCCTTTCCTTCATCCTCACTATATCCATGTCACCCACAGAGTGTAGCTGGTTTTATGTTCAAGGAGATCTCAGATCTGTTCCTTTCTTTTCATATTCACTGTCAAATAACTCTAGGCCAAGCCATAACACATCTTTCTTGGACCTCAGCAATAACCCTCCAGTATGTAAATTCCATTTGTAAAGTAATTGTAGCATCCAGTTACTTAGAATCTTGCCATTGCAAGTTGGATGCACAGCTAACATGTTAACCGGTCTCCCCAATTCCAGTTGTGTTCTACCCCAACCCATTCTCCACATGGTAGATAATGGCGATCTTTAAAATTATGGATCTAATTATTCCATTCCATTATCTAAAAGCCTTCGGTAACTCCTGATTGCTCTTCCTTAATTGTCATATAAGTCTCTGAGTGACCTCATGCCTGCCTCTCTCCAGCCTTGTCACTGTCCCATTTGCTTACCTCACCACAGTCACACCAGCTTTCTCTGGTTATGGGACCAGAGAAGGGGACACAGTCTCTTTCCTAATTCAAGATCATTGCAGGTGCTCCTCTTCACACCCATAATGCTGGAGGCTTTTCTTCTTTTTTCCCCCTCCACAAATATACACCCACATGCACAATTCTTGCCTATGTTGTACTCATTGTCCAGATCTCGACCTAAATGTCACCTTCTTCTGGAGTCCTTTCCTCACTAGCTCCAAGTCAAAATTAGACCCTCTCAAGGGAACTTATACTTTTTTTAAAAATGAGAAACGCAATAATGTATGTGTGCGATTATTAATGTCTGTCTCCACACCAGACATCTCCCTACTGGAAGTCAGAGACTGAGCCGATTTTTCTGTAACACTGTGTCCCAGTATCAAGTATATTGCTTGGCATATGAGCACTTATTTATGTATGTTGCATGAATGAATGTCTGGCTATGTGCTAGACCAGAGCGAGGAAGAGGGAAGGTAGTATCCTTGAACTAGAAGAAACACCATGATGACAAAGACTTTCATTTAACTGTCTTGTTATACATTAATGGAGCACATGGTAGGTGGTCAGTGAGTGTTTGAAGAAATAAAAGAAGGGAAAGAGAGAGTAAAGAGAAAGAAAGGAAAAAGAGGGGGAAGAATGGGGGACAAAATAAATTGAAAGACAATGAGAAAAGCTGCAAACCTAAATCTAGGATTATGGTCTTTGATAGGAGAAGTTATATCAACCTCCCTATCTCTCACTTAAAAAAAAAATTGGGAAAGGTTAACATGCAATACGAAACGTCTTGCTTAAATAAAATATAAAAACTTACATCTCATTTTTGTGGTTTTAATTAATAATTTACAAATTATTTTTATTTACTTGTTAATAATTATTTTATCTGGTGAGAACATAAGGAATACCAGATAGGGTTATGCTCAGACATGCTCCTTTAAGTGTGTATTTTTTAATTGCAACCTCTTTTCAAAGTCTTATAGAGCAAAGATATGTTTTTATATTTCATTCTTTCTTAAATTTATGGATACTTGCTTTTTCCCTCTCCAAGAAAAAGGCTAACCTTTGCATACCATTATATAGAATATGAATGAACATAATTATTGATTAGATGTAATTAATCATTTCCTATTTATTTTCAAATTATAGAAAAATATGTCGTAACTGCAAGTGTGGCCAAGAAGAGCATGATGTCCTTTTGAGCAATGAAGAGGATCGAAAAGTGGGGAAACTTTTTGAAGACACCAAGTATACCACCCTAATTGCAAAACTAAAGTCAGATGGAATTCCCATGTATAAACGCAATGTTATGATATTGACCAATCCAGTTGCTGCCAAGAAGAATGTCTCTATCAATACAGTTACCTACGAATGGGCTCCTCCTGTCCAGAATCAGGCATTGGTAAGTGATTAGGGAAAGGAGAGTTCATTTATTGAAGTTCTGATCTATTTATTTAGGGAAATTCCTTTAGTGACTTAATCAACTTCATACAGATCTATTATTTTTCCAGGGTTCCCATTACCTTGACTCCTAACTCTTGTTACAGTCTTTTGAAAGTAAGCCTATTAATAGATACCTCATAAAATTCTTGTGACTATTTAGATATGTTTACCTTTTTGAGGAAATAGTCTAACATTCTTAATAATTAGATGAAAATCAGATGTTTTATATCAATCTAGTAACTCTTCTAACTTACTCTTGAATTTCTGCCATTGTTTAAAACTAACTGAAAAACATGATGAACATTATATTTCTTTTACTACATAAGACCAAAAAAAATGCAGTTTTGTATCAAGCTCCTTCCATCAGATGAAACATTTGAAAGTCTTTTAAGAAGATTGATTAATAAATCATTAAAGTGAATCCTGTGATTATATCATTTTTATATGATAAAAATGCTGCTGATTCATAGGCCATTCTAAACATGTTTGCCTAAAACGTTTTAATTCCTTTGAATTGTACATTTATTTAGCTCAAATAAACAGTAGTAACCCAGATCTTTTTACAGACTGGAAAAAAAATAATTTCATAGAGAAAAATGTGTTTATTTTTACCCAACTAAATCTATTTAGTATACCAATTTTGAATGTGTTAACATCCCAAGTTATTTATACTATGAGGATGAATTGTTACTATTGGACTATGAGGATGAATTGTTACTATTCGGCAAAGTTCACTTCTTTCTTAACCCATTTCTCATCTAGAAAAAAAAAAGTATAGTTTTCTGCCACGTTCATTTAATTTTACATAAGCATGCTCTTTGAGGCTGAAGCAAATCTGACTTGTTTTCAATGTGAAAAGAAAATACAAAAACTGTTCTTGGAGTTATTTCTAAACAGAACTTGTCTGTGATCCTAATATAACAGAAATGTATATGATGATCAGTATTTAATAATTTACTTTGTGTGTTAACATCACTCATAGGAGTGTCACATTTTCTAGGATTTGCCATTTTTAGTGATAAAAAATTACTAAAAAAAAGAGAAAGAATTACTATATTTTGTAAATGAAAATACCAATGCTCAAAATAGAATGCTATAAATAGAATGATGTCATTTGTTTCCAAAGACTATTGATATGCTAGAGCGATGTGAAAATAATAATAAAAATGAACTATTTCCTGTCAAACTTTGGAGGTAAAGTTAGGACTGTAATGTGTGAGTTATCTCAGGGTAAACACTGCAGCCTCAAACACTGCCGGCTAGTATTCTTGGAAAAGGGTTAAGTAACTTGCTTCTGATGTGTGTTATAAAATACTACACTATCTGATGACCAGCATGTCTCCCAGTTAACACCGGCCTCTTGTGCTTCAGGCCAGGCAGTACATGCAGATGCTACCCAAGGAAAAGCAGCCAGTGGCAGGCTCAGAGGGGGCACAGTATCGGAAGAAGCAACTGGCAAAGCAGCTCCCTGCACATGACCAGGACCCTTCAAAGTGCCACGAGTTGTCTCCCAGAGAGGTGAAAGAGATGGAGCAGTTTGTGAAGAAATATAAGAACGAGGCTCTGGGAGTAGGAGATGTCAAACTTCCCTCTGAGATGGACGCTCAAGGCCTCAACCAAAGGCACATCCCTGGTGGGGATAGAAGCACCCCAACTGCGGTGGGGACCATGGAGGACAAATCTGCGGAGCGCAAAAGAACTCAGTATGTAAGTAGAGTGGTCACACTGCTGACCCAATATGTGTATTTTACAGGTACTTTCCCTTTCTTTGAACTGTTTTTTGGTGTCACTTATCTGTTTCCCAAAGGGAATAGTTACAGGAAATAAATTGAATTAAAATTCACTTTAGACTTGCATGAGAGAGTCATCCTGTTTAAAACTTGTCTAAAAGGCTGGGCTCGGTGGCTCAGACTGTAATCCCAGCGCTTTGGGAGGCCGAGGTGAGTGGATTGCCTGAGCCCGCGGGTTCGAGACCCGCCCAGGCAACTTGGCGAGACCTCATCTCTACAATAAATAAAAATTAGCTGGGTGTGGTAGCGCGCACCTGTAGTTCCAGCTACTTGGAAGGCTGAGGTGGAAGTATCGCCGGAGCACAGCAGGTCAAGGCTGCAGTGGCCGGGAGCGGCCACTGCACTCCAGTCTGGGTGACAGAGTGAGACTCCAACTAAAAATAAAAAATAAAAAATAAAACTTGTCTAAAGCCAATTTTCTGCTTATATGTTATCAAGGATTATTATATGTTTTATGTATAGATAGTAGTTGTCATTGATGTGCTGCTTGAAGACAACATACTAATCTAGAACTTGTTTCTAAACATAATTTTGGGGTTAATTGCTTATCTTTTCCCATACATAAGAATAATATATACTCAGGTTAATTCAGTTTTGCTTGTGAGAACATGCTTAAAATTCAGACTTAGGGCAACCCCTTCAGGTCCCCTCCCACTGTGGGAACTTCTCTGTCCTCTCAATAGATCCTACTTTCTCACTTAAAAAAAATAAATAAAATAAAACAAGGCCGGCCATGCCTTAAAAAAAAATTCAGACTTAAATTTATGTCGATAGATAAATTTTTTTTAAGAAAAGTTTCTTCTAGAGAGGGAAATTAAAGTATTTTGCTAATTACTCAAAGGTAGAAGACGATTATGATACAGATGAACAAACATAAGAATTAAGCTTACTATAATATATTTCTGTTAGATCCAATTAGCACATCAACCAATAAGATTTAATCCTGAAAAAAGAGTACTAATAAGCTCTAAGGTAATTATTTTTTAGGAAAACTACTTAAAATTGAGGTGAAAATTATGATTAGCCTTTTTTCATAAGTGACTTTATTTTGAAAACAATGCCCTATTATACATAGGGTAAATGAAGTGGGTTTGAGCAGCCTAAAGAAAGTTAAAAGATTCCATTTCACAGTGGTATTAATACTTTATTATCTACTTGAACAAATTAGTAATTTCAGTAGAAATAATTTCTTTGAAAACTGTTTCTCTGAATTTCTCCTGAAGCCAGTGATAAGAAATGGCAGTCTTCTGATGACTAGATTGTTTTGGGTGGCTTCCCTTTCAGTCCTGCTATTGCTGCAAACTGAGTATGAAGGAAGGCGACCCAGCCATCTATGCTGAAAGAGCTGGCTATGATAAACTGTGGCACCCAGCTTGTTTTGTCTGCAGCATCTGCCATGAGCTCCTGGTTGACATGATTTATTTCTGGAAGAATGAGAAGCTATACTGTGGCAGACATTATTGTGACAGTGAGAAACCCCGATGTGCTGGCTGTGATGAGGTATGTTCTTTGCACCACCCACATGCAGGTACCCTCTTAATACCTTCATATGGTCCCTTTACCCAGAAGGCAACAGGAACTAACCAAACAGCAATTGCTTTTTATTACATGCAAAGGAGTTTAAGAAAAGAAACTTTTGATATCATTCATTCTGAATGTCTGTTATTTGTGTTAACTAATGAAGGACTGTATAGAAACATAAAAGATTTATTTGGGCTAAAGTAAATGATAACATAAGTTCAAGCTTTAGGTTATCATTTTCAAACTTTAAACCCGAAGAATGTATGTTAATATCCTTATAGACTGAAATTCCTTTTATCTAAAGAACCCAGCTTTGTCATGTGTAGCAAAAAGGAAAATACATGATTCATCTTATTTTTATCCCCTTCGCAGCTGATATTCAGCAATGAGTATACCCAGGCAGAAAACCAGAATTGGCATCTGAAACACTTCTGCTGCTTTGACTGTGACAACATCCTAGCTGGGGAAATATATGTGATGGTCAATGACAAGCCTGTGTGCAAGCCCTGCTACGTGAAGAATCACGCTGTGGTGAGAAGCGTTCTAAGGATGTGGTTGCCTCAGCCTCTCTTTAAGCCTCCTACAGATGGGAAACATAAAGCACTCCTCTTAAGTAGAAAGAAAACAAGTGATTCCTACCATTGGGTGTTAAAACCCAAGCAGTTCAGAAACAGTACATACATTGACAGTGAGCCCCCTCAAGATTTGTACCTGGGCAGTTTACATTGTTATACATGCTGCTTGTTAATAACATCCTCACTTAAAATAAATTTAATGGGAAAGAAATTGATCTATTCTCGTGGCTTCAGATCGGATTTCATTTAAATAAAGGTTTCTAGGGGCTGTTCCTATTCTTTATGTCTATTTGAATGTGATGGTTCCTGTTCATGTTACTGGACCATCCACTGGGGCTTAGTTTTTTGTTACCTAGAGATTATAAGGTGCCTATTCCATGACCTCCACTGAATTGATTTGACTTAACAAAATTTGACCTGCATGTTTAGATTTAGTTGTGTGGGCTAGGCATTCAAATTCTTACTGTGGGAGTATATGTTTTCATTTCTTATATCTACTGTTCTTACACAGAGCAGCTGTTGCATAATGACCAAGAGATACGTATTGTAGATAAAGGGTAAAAAGCTGACCATATATGGTAAGGTGTATAAGCTAGACATATCAGAAGGATAGACTTTTACTTCTTTATATACAGGAAGACATAGTCTAGTTAATGGTCCTCCTGAGCTATCAGGTAAAGGAGACTCCTGACTAAGGAGTTAATTGCATATTTATGTAGTTCCAGGAGTATGGTACTATGAAGATAAGGTGGTAAGTTTTTGATGTCAGTGCCACTTTATCCATTGGTCCAGATATTATCATTCATTTTCTATAAACTCTACCTTATCAATTTATCTCAGATCCTGACAGTAACTACTCTATTCCAGACCTTTATTTTTATCATTTTGAGTATTCTTGTAGCTTCAGATTTGGTTTCCCTGCCCTGCTTCCACTCATCTTTCTCAAAAGTCACCTCCCGTAATGATGGAGGATGATCTTGGTAAAATGCAAAGTGTTAAACCTTTGTTTAATAGATCTGATTTCTCCTGTTACTTCCTTTAGTTATCCAACCCAAATCATACATTTCCACAACATGTTTGCCAGCATTTTAGTTTATACAGTGTTCTTTGTCTTTTGTTGAATAGTTTTTCTGATGCATCCTCCCATTCCCTGTTTTACCTGACTATGCCTACGCATTTATTTCTTTAGACTCAGGTTTAATATTTTTCAGAACGCCTTTGCTGATTCTCTACCCCCAAGCTCCACCCTTTTTTTTTTTTTTGAATCAGGGTCTCATGCTGTCACCCAGGCTGGAGTGCAGTGACATGATCACAGCACACTGCAGCCTTGAACTCCTGGGCTCAGGCAATCTTTCCACCCCAGCCTGCCGAGTGGCAGGGACGACATGTGTGCACCACCACTCCCAGCTATTTTTATTTTTTGTAGAGACATGGTCTCTCTATGTTGCCAGGCTTTACTCCTGGGCTCAAGTAATCTTCCCACCTTGGCCTCCCAAAGTACAGGGATTGCAGGTATGAGGCACCATGCCTTGCTCCAAGCTCCACCATTCTCTCTGTCTAGGCTCTCTGTGTTTCCCTATGGGTGGGTAGGTGTGTATATGTGTGTGTAACATCATTCATCTGTCTCCTCTATTAGACTGTAAACAGCTGGAGGATAGATCCTGTCCTTTTAGAATCTATTCCATATCTTCAGTGTCTGCACTTAGAGAATGTTTGAGTCACTGACTTGTGTTCCTAATACTTCTCGTCTGCTTTGAGGTCACCATGTACCTTTTTAACTGGAGAATAGGATGTTAAATCACTATGTAGCCTGATATATTATTTAGCTAAAAACTGCTTTTTTGAATATTGTTGCAGCAGTTTCTCTACAGAGAAGAGTTATCATAATGTTTATTTTTTGTCAGGTATATGGCCTTGATCTCAAGAACTAAAATATAAACTCCATGAGGGAAGGGATTTTTTTTTCCTTTTCTGTTCTGTTCTCAATATCAAAACAACATAGTTTGGTGTTCAATAGATATTTATTGAATAAAGGTTTAAACAGAGGAAGCTGCTTTATTTAGCTGTCATAAGTGCCTCTCTGTTACATTTTATCTAATCAATGGCAGGGAATAACCACAGATTGGATTTTTTTTTTAATAAAGGATTTTCCAAATTATTTGGCTGTATAGTAGAGCATCATTTGTTTTAGGTTTACTTCGTCAGTGGGATATACCATTGCCCTTTGCAATTGGGATATACCATTGCCCTTTAATATTAAAACGAGCATATATATTCATTGCCTGAGCAACTTCCAGCTAACAGCAAGAGAACTACCAAGCAGCATGCTACATGATACACAGTTTTGAAGATTTTCTAGTTCAGGGCATTAATCTGTTTAGATCTTTTAAGAAAGAGACAGATAATACAACTTATTTTTACATCTGAAGCCCAAGTACTCAACTTCAACAGGACATTTATGAGAAAAAATACATATCATATACCTGGAAGGAGGAAAATAGGAAATGCATCTAGTTTGTCTTTGCATGGTCACTGGAATTCCAGAGCCACCCTCAGAATTCACATCTGTGAGATTTCACAGGACCCTTCTGCCAGAGAATTCATTATAACACGTGTTATTGACTATTTCATGTCTTGTACACAAATAAAAGAGGAAAGGAGGATTGAAGGAAATCAGATCTCTCTGAAATAGTAAAGGTTTAAGAAACACAGGAAAGTCAAATGCCAGGCAGAAAGTGGTAAAGTGCATCATCTTCCTGAGGGTTCTGCAGTCTTCAGACCCTTGCTGCAGCCTGAACCACTTTTAGATTTTTGAAGAATTACAGATCAGTAGATTTTACTTGAGATTATATGTCAGATTTGAGGTGAATGATGATTAAATTATTAATAAAATGAAATTTTATGGAACTACAAACCCTAAATTTTCTATACCATTTGTGCTCATTAGTTATATTTTTACCTAAATTCTTTTCCTAATTTCACATGTAATTGAACAGTAGCTATCTGTTTTTGTAGCAGATGAAAATGTTTGTTTTAAGTAATTATAGAAATATTCACAAATGCTATTATAAGACAGAGAAAAATAAGATAGGTCGTGGTTTAAAAGCAAGGGAATTTAACATTGAGTGTATTTTATACAAATAAGTTAAAATATTTATACAAACAAATTTAAAAATATTGGAAGATTGAATGTTCTCATCACAAAGAAATGATAAAAGAATGATAAATGTTTACAATGTATACATGTATGGAAACATCACATAGTATCTCCATAAATATGTACAACTGTTATGTGTTGAACATAAAAACACTGAAAGATTAATATAAAATATAGAAGACTGTAAGATAACATTCTAAATTAATTAGAAAGCTTTAAAAATGTATACAAAAAGCAATTGCTTGCAAGTTACAGCTACAAATTGAGAATGTGCTTGCAATTGTAACATTCATTTTTGTTGTATTCAGGAATAGTGTATTGATTATGCAAAGAAAGTATCTCTTGTTTTTTAGGAAAGACAGATTGATATAACTTAAGAGATTTAAAAGTAATGTAGCTCTAAAAAATACAAAAAGTATACTGCAGGTCTGAAATGAATGTGTGTAACAAGGCCTCATTTCACTGCTGAACCCAGTTTTCCTACTGAGTAGCAGTCACGTTTTGAAGCCTTTTCAAGTAAGGAGGCTCAGGCACAATGACCCTCCTCAACCCACCTGTTCCCACCCCCTGATATCACCATAATTCCTGACAGTCACATTAGGAGACCAAGATTGCTTAAGATTAATCACTGTCATCTTATACTGGACAATATTGTTGTTTTCTTCACTTGTTATGAAATACTTAAAGCAAAAACTTTAGGTAGTCACATTCATTCAGAACATGTATAAACAAGAAGGCATATGGACTACCCAGTGTTTTGAAGGTCTCAACTGATAAGTTTTCTGTTTTCTACTGTAATACCAGAAGATTATTCATTTATTTTCCTTATATACATATTTGATTAAGAATAAAATTATGTGCATGTATATGTGGATATATTTATGTTTGCATAGGTGTATGTTTGTGTGTGCATGACGTATACATTGATCCATAACACATATACTACTGAATGGCACGGGAACTGTATTAATGCTCTGCAATGTTAGATTACACATAAATTATGACTGATCTTATGATAGAGTAGAAGCCAATTAACTACAAGTTATATTTTTAGTGCAAACTCATTATTCTGAAACACTATCAGTATTTTTAATTGAGTCCTTAATTACTTTGAACATGCTTTTAATTTACTACTGTCTATAAATTAGTGGTGTTAATAATCTCATGTGTCATAGGTAGGACTGGTAAAACTACCACTTCAAAGCTTTAATGGGTGAGAAAGAATCATCTTATAAACGTCTTGATAATTACAAATGTACAGTCTAATAGAATACACTGCAGCCAAGCACACTGCTATAGAACTTGGTGGTGAGATTTTCTGCCTTGAATACCATTGAGATCTCTTACAAACACCAAACCACCTGTTTTGCCTTTTCCTATTCTTCCTCACAATGCACAGCTTATAGACCTCCATTAATAGTTGTTGGCCATAAAGGTTAACTACTAGGATAGTCTCAGCTGTGTGTTTTTAAGGATGTCGTTGTGAGTTTTAATTTATCATCTAAAGAAACATGTACACTTTGTCCTGAGACGGAAATGTTACCATTACGGTTTGACCTCTCCTCCTCTTTTCTTGCTTGTTTTGTTACTTAACAGGTATGTCAAGGATGCCACAATGCCATCGACCCAGAAGTGCAGCGGGTGACCTATAACAATTTCAGCTGGCATGCATCTACAGAGTGCTTTCTGTGCTCCTGCTGCAGCAAGTGTCTCATTGGGCAGAAGTTCATGCCGGTAGAAGGGATGGTTTTCTGTTCAGTGGAATGTAAGAAGATGATGTCTTAGGAGAAGGGCACCCAGTAATATTGAGCCATAGCTATCCAAAGTGGTCTGCATTTCTACTGTAAAATGCAATCGAAAAAATAAAAGACCAAAAGGAAACTGTAACAGAAACCAGGAGATCTTGATCAGTATCTTATTTTTACTACTTTCTTTCTTACCAATTTTTTTGTCTCAACTTTTAAAACCTGCTCTAAGCCTTTAATTTTTAAAACAATATGGAACTTTATCTTTTCTTAGCTTCCCAAATATGAAATCTTTAAGTTGGAAGCTTGGGTCTAATGAAACTTCATGTTCCTCTCCCCTTTGTGCCAAACACTTAAAAGTTAGCGGCTGAGCCAGGCTCGGTGGCTCAGCCTGTAATCCCGCGCTTTGGGAGGCTGAGGTGAGTGAATTGCCTGAGCCCGCAGGTTCGAGACCCACCTGGGCGACTTGGCGAGACCTCATCTCTACAATAAATCAAAAAAATTAGCCGCGCATGGTAGTGCACGCCTGTAGTTCCAGCTACTTGGAAGGCTGAGGTGGAAGGATTGCCGAAGCCCAGCAGGTGGCCAGGAGCGTGCCACTGCACCAGTCTGGGCAACAGAGTGAGACTCCAACTCAAAAAAAAAAAAAAAGCGGCTGAATGGAAAGATGAGCATTTCTAGTTTTGTATTCTTTTTCCCCTTGTGTGTAAAGTGAAAAGGAAATTAAATTTGCTCTAATACCACGGCCCAGTGTTTATTGCCTCGTCTGATTCACTCATCTTTGGGTGATGCACAGTGAATTCTTTTTGACAGAGAAAAGAGAAATGCATGGTTGTATGTAGAGCTGCTGTTTTAATGTCTATGCACTTGTGACTTCCTGATTTAGGCAACAGTGGTGTTTTCTTTATTGCATTTCTTTATTTTTGATGTACTCTACCTCTAAGTATTCTCTTTGTAAGTTGATGACCTCCATCTGTGGCCTTGAATGTTTTATTATCACACGTGGCTTAACAATATCTACACTTCTACAGGTGATTTTTAACTTGGGCATAACAACCAAGCCACTCATTTATATTGCTTTTAATCCAAAGACTATGTATAAGCTTTATACCCAAGAAACTAGGACTTAAACTGATTGCACTTGCCTGCCATAGTTTAGATAACTTTTTTTGCATGGTTTTTATTCTTTTCTAATGAACCCTGTTTTATGATACTTCTAAGCCTATTCATGGATATTTCCAATGTCTTCGCTTATGTACTTCCATCCTTAGGTATTTCTAATGTTTTCCTGTATACCTTACATAACTATGCACTATGAGCATTAAATTGAATGAATTATATGTATATTATTATCCAAAATAAATTTCTTTCACTTTAATAATCTTTTCTTCATATTCTTTCTGAGTGAAAAATGCTTTTGCAAGTAAGCGTATGCTGCAGCAGGGGGCAATGTCTCCAAGGATAAAAACTACCCAAACAAAAATAAAGGCTGCTTCTGACAGGACAGAACAGAAACTAGACTTTTCATTATGGAGAAAGGATATGTTTTATGAAATTTTAAAATAAATCAGTACTTTTAAGTTGGTTTTGGTCATGCAAGAATTTTTTTTTCTGTGTGAAAGGAAAAGTCATTGTAATTGAAGTTTGGAAAAAACTTTGTTTTTTCTTTGGGTGAACCTAACAAGCATTACTCTTATTCTCAAGTTGCAACTCTGTGTAGTGTCTTAATATGTAAAAAATATGTAAAGAAAGATTTTTTTTTTTTCATGGCAACCTATTGTGGGAAAGGAAGCAAATGGGAAGCAGTAAGTAGATTCATTCTTCCTCACATCAGCAGACCAGTAGACATTTTCCCCTCAGTCAGAAGTATTTCTGTCATAGTAGGAGTAGCAGTTTTCTCTGACACATTCCCAGAATAATTTGATATCTTTTCTAGCTCATGTTTGTTTGGCCAATAGTGTTTCCCCTTACATGCCCCTCGCCCTCCATACACACGTGTCCATGCAGATACACACACCTATTTCTTCTGCTCTGTGCCTTCCCCAACCATGAAAGGTGTTTTCAGAGCTTGAACATGTGTCACCTTGTCCAAAGAAGTAACTGAATTCTGTATACAATTTTAAATGCTAATATCGCAAATATCCATCACTGTGAAATCACTTTATGCTTGCTCATCTTTTTATCTTTGTCTTAAATAGCAACAGATATATATTTTTATAGCATTTTGTCCACAATGGTGAACAACTTCACCTTTTCCAGCGTGGAAAAGTGAGAATAAACTCACACAGAACCCGCCTGCATATTAACACGGCCAGTTCCCTCTGGAAGTCTGGGTTGCTCTCAACATGTATAGGTCTTCGTATTTATTATATGGTATTTTACTTGCTTTCTCCTCCCTCCCTTCCTTCTTTCTTTTTTTTTTTTCCTTGGAAATGAGGGGCTGAAACTTTTTCTTTAATCAACTCTAACTAAAACTTCTGTTACTGAAGTCTTCGAGCATAGATTTCCAAATCTGACTTTGAAGTATTTCAGCCCAACTTCACCAAAGGAAAAGGATTCATTACTGATTCATTCTCAAGGAATTTCCACCACGTAGTGTTTAAGCTCATCCAGCTTCACCATAGTTACCAGAGAGACATCACGACCCAAGATCAGTATTCAGCCTTTGTCTTGAGATGCCTTGGCATATCTGAACTTGTCTTCTGGGTATTCACTTAGTTCCTTAGAAAATGTATGACTCCATCAATGTCTCTCTAAAAAAGCACTTTGCCACAATTTTTTACTGGATAATCTCTTCCCCTTCCTGACCTCTGCTGATTTAAGTGTTCAGTGGTGACTTTGATGATTGTACTGAATGTTCACATGTCTGAAAAGGACCCACTGTTCTGGGATACGTGGGTGTGTTTTGAGCACCTAAAGTAAAACATTCTGGCTTCATTCACAGGATATTTTTTCATATATTTAAATAGGTTTGGTTAATTATTTTTGCTCTTTCATGAGGAGCATGTCTGTAACTTCTATTGTGTCTGATAATGTATTTTGAAACACTCAAAACAAGATGCCATTAACCTTTTATACTTGTTTTGAATGGCGTTTTATGCTGACATTTATGAAGGTTGATTTTTTTTCCTCCATAATACTTCTCCCCAAGATACCTCGACCTTCAAACAATCACAAAAGCAACTCATACCCAGTTATCTTTACTAGAGTCAGCTATTACTGTCTACAGGGACATTAGAGTTGATTTCTCCATAAATATTGACTGATTCTGAAGGCTCCACAGTATAGTTCAAAGGAGAGCTAGGGTTAGGAGTCTAGACAGATACCTTCTGGCCACATCCCGTTGATTTCTCCTCCTCCCCATGGTTACAACTGAGTAGGAGGGAGAACAAGATTGTGGAATTTGAGTGTCGAGGAAATAACAGGCCCAAGTGTTGGATGGACATAATGGGTTGAAGATATCAAAAATAACAGTAGTAGGGAAAATGGTGGAGAGAAGAGTAATGCAGTGGCTAAAGTTATCAAAGAATGTGGAGAAGTATCCTGGAATTTAATAAAAGGTGGCAACTCAGGGCAGAAATGTGTGGTAAAGTCTGAGGCCATGTACTACATACACCTCAGCGAACTGTGATTGCCAGGAAACAAACAGCAGTCAGTGGAAATAACAGTGGAGAACAAGGAAGCCACCCACCCCACCGGCACTGTGGAATGCCCACACAGGAGAAAAAATAACTGGACTCCAAATTACTACAGAAAAAGCAGATGTTGGGGATAACCAGTTGGAGCAAGAAGATGAAGAGGTTGAGAATACAAAGAAATCCTCAGTTGACAGCAGTTGGATTTCAGAGTGTACAGAGATAAAGTTAGAGAATGTAGGAAAGGGTTGGGCCAGATTAAGAGGTTTGCAAAGCAGAATGGGTATCAGATTTCCAAGTGAGGCTGAGAAATATAGATACCAGGGCTGGTTAAACAGGGATGAGAGGCAGGCTGAGGTTAGTCCTGGCAGTTGCCCAGAGAAATGCACATATTCAGGAATGCTTTTGACTGTAAGTATCTAAAAGCACAACTAAGAATGGCTTACAGACAAGATGCAGGGTCAAAATTTGACTCAGAACAAGTTCATTTTGTTGTGTCTGTTTTTGAGTTGGAGTCTCACTCTGTTCCCAGGCTGGAGTGCAGTGGCACAATCATGTCTCACTACAGCCTTGAACTCCTAGGGTCAAGTATCCTCCCACCAAGTAGCTGGGACTACATGCACGCACCACCATGCCTGGCTAAATTTTTTTATTTTTTGTGATGAAGTCTCGCTATGTTGCCCAAGCTGGTCTTGAATTCCTGAGCTTAAGTAATCATCCCTCCTCGGCTTCCCAAAGTGCTGGGATTACAGGTGTGAGCCACCGTTTTTGGCAACAAGTTCGTTTTAATCTCTGTTCTGCCAGCCTCTATGTGCTGCCATCCATTCTTTCTCAGGTTTGTTCCTTCATTCAAGCACCACTCCACATGGCACCATCCAACGCACTAAAGGAAAAAGTGGCAAAAAGAATTGCACTCCCTAGACAAGGAAGAAAAACCTTTCCAGGAGCCCCCAGTTAATTTATCTACCCTTCCACTTCATTGTCTAGAACTAAATCACATGCTCATCCTTATCAAAGGCAAAGAGAAGCAGAGTCACTATGGGTGACTTCTCAAGTCATCATTCACACCCTGAACCCTGGACACAAGCTACACAGAACAAAATTAATTTTCTGATATAGGAAGAGGGGAAATGGCTGTTGAGTTTACCATAAATCGATCTTTATGGCAAAGAATTGTTTAGATTCCGAGTTGTTTAGATATCTGGAAGGTATATTGGCATATATGTATGAATCTGAAGTATGAGGTTTCTCTTCGTTTGTGAAATAAGACAAGGATATCATTTGGGGGCATTTCTTAGGCATGATTTTACTCACATGGCCAGCATTGATATGGAGTCAGAGCAAGAGACGCTGCAGTCCTCGGGTGGCTGGTTACAGGACTTCACTTGACTCATTCCTCCCACCATCTAATTCCATCTATCTGATATATTTGCAAGTCACAGGTCATTATTATGTCCTCTATCAACAACTATTCCTTTTCCTCTCTCAGAAGTGATAACTTACTCAGCTGTGATGTCCTTACCATGCTGACTTATCTGGCCATCAGAAACACTTGAATCTGTCTATTTACCAGAGTCAGTACTTTAACTGATAACCTCGTTGTTTCTCACCAGGTATATTATAACTTCCTATC